ATCAAAACAGCCTGGTACTGGTACAAAAACAGATGGATAGACCAATGGAAAAGAACAGAAACTTCCGAAATCAATCCAAACATCTACAACCAACTTATATTTGACCACGGAGCTAAAAACCAATCCCAGGAGCAAGGACAGTCTTCAACAAATGGTGCTGGGAAAACTGTATTTCTACATACAGAAGTATGAAACAATACCTCTACCTTACACCTTACACAATAATCCACACAACATGGATTAAACATCTAATTCTATGACCCGACACCATTAAATTATTAGAGATGTGAAAGAATTCAAGGTGGAGGCATAAAGGTGTACAGGAAACCAGCATTTATGGAAAGTAAAGGAAAAGTGCACACTCAAGAAATACATGTGGGTAAGTGAGATAGAAAGATAGAGAACAAAAAGCCCCCAATAAGGTTCAGGCCATCCTTTTACACTATCAGGAAGTACAGGCAGTGGTATTCAGAATAGAGCTTAATTGAGCGTACAAAGGAGCAAAGTTTGGAGTGGGGATTAAGTACCACCTATTTCCTTGTCCATTTTTGGAAATCTGCAAAGTGTCATGGCATCAGGTGAATGATGGGAGTGGAAATGTCATCTATGTTAATTTTATTATAGTGACCTAAAGGTCATCACTGGAACACATCCTACATCCATATTGGATATTTTCAATGGGTGCTGGTTCTAAGCTTTCAACACTGAAGAACTTGCAGTTTCTGCTACACACAAAAGGGTAGGGGGCTTGATGACGCATGGAAGATGCGTTTGGACAGTGCAGTGAAAGGGAAGTTTGGATGGTGCAAAGAAAGGAAGTTTGGGTGGTACACAGAAAGGAGGTCTGGATGGCAGAGAATACACAATCATGTGGGCAAGGCTGGGCTGTCACAAGCTTAAGCAGCAGCTGGCCAGGGCTTCTGCACAAGCTGGCTGGAGCTGTCACGCCATGGGCAGCACCACTGCATGGGTAAGCTGCGGCTGTCACATGGTGGATTGGCTGTGGGCTGTGCCACCACATGGTCAGCTGGGCTCTGAAATCTCAGCTCTTCTAACTACCTTACCTGTCCATATCCCATTATCAGTGATGTATTCACTGCCTATCACAGGCCACGTGGTGGTTTAAGTATTAAAGCCATTGCTGTTGTATGTCCTTCTATTTGAATGTCTTTCATCACTGTTTAATTCCTTTGTACTCTGTAAAACTCAGCTTAGACATCTAAGTATCCCTCCTTATCCCAAGTACACGTTTTTATGGTCACAACAATCTCAGTTTGGAATTTTTTGTTTTAGTAGTAAACTGTGAGTTTCACAGAGTCAGGAAATGGGACTGTCACATACTTGTATCCATAGTGCCTGGTATAGTGTTTGACATAAGGTTGATGCATCACAACTCTTTTCTCATTTACAGATAAAAAAAATAGGACATGGAGTAATGATGTGATTTCTCAGAGTTGCATTCTTAATGATGACAGACTCAAAATGAGAACTAAAGTCTTAACTCAAAGTTCAGTACCTCACTTCTTATCTGTTTCTGCCACTCTAATCTTAATTAGGGCTGGAATAATTGCTATTTGTTATTACTGGGCTTCCCCTTAGTCAAAGGGGTGAACAACAGCTTGAGCCATTTCTGGGAATCAGGAAAGTTAGAATTGTGAATTGCAATTCTGTTGTTAACTTTTGAACTTTGTACCACTTAGAGATTCTATAAAAGTTTGAGGATAATCTTTGGCGAGTAGGTGGTAGATAATCATGCTGTCTACAACAAATCATTTGTACTTATTGCATTTGCAAAATCAGTTTGGAATGAAGAAAATATGTAAGCATGATGATATGAGGACAGCAGTGGCCCATCAAATTCTCCCAAACAACTTCAAAAACAGCAAGATGCCCCAGTGGCATTGTTTTCTGCGAATTTAAAAGATATACAGCAAGATCAATGGAAGCCATGTTTTAAAGTCCTACTAGGGATACTGCTGGAACTCCAAAATTTTACTTCTTGGGGCCTGTACTATGGCCTAGCAGGTTAAGCTTCTGTCAGCAACACTGGCATCCCATATGGACACCGGTTCATGTCCTGGCTGCTCTACTTCTGATCCAGCTTTCTGCTTATGGCCTGGGAAAGCAGTGGAAGTTGGCTCAAGAGCTTGGGCCCCTACACCAGAAGAAGCTCCTGGCTCCTGGATTTGGATTGGCCCAGCTCTGGCCCTTGTGGCCATTCGGGGAGTGGACCAGCAGATGGAAGACCTCTCTCTCTGTCTCTCCCACCTCTGTCTGTAATTCTACCTCTCAAATAAATAAGTCTTTAAAAATTTATTTCTCATATTTAAAAGAATCTTCTTAGAGTTGGAAAACTTAAATATTTCTACACATGTCTAAGTATGCACATATGTTTAATCACTATGAAAGAGTGAAAAGCTGGACTCCAATGTACAATTTTTAAAAACTTAAAACATGATTCTGCAAACATGTAATGAGCACACATGCTAAAGATATGTTTAATTCATTGATGAGGAGACCAGCAAGATGGTAGAGAAACCTATCCAACTCTAGCTCATGGGAAAACATGCTGTGGTGAAACTGCCACATTAGATACAAAATTAGTTAGTGCTCCATTGACCAATAAAATCATAATCTTAGGGTTATCTTATTTACCGGACACAAATAATTTTCATCTGTATTAGACAAAAAAAATTGTTAACCTAACAATTTTCTACAAGTGGACATCTAACTTTATCACATGTAGACCCAGGTCTTTTTCTGAGAGATATCTGAATAATTCGCTCTTTACATACTTCAGTTGCTGATTAAGCTTTGTGGGTTGCAAGGGAATTTCTTCATGTTGGCTGGTTCCCCCATTTATTTTTTTCATTTATTAAATTTCAGTTCATTCATCTATTAATGTCACAGATACTTTGCTACATGCTGGAGATATAGCAGAATAGAGATATACAGTTTCTGTCCTTACAGATTTCACATTCTGGTATGGCTGAGATAAGAAAGAGTAAACAATACACAGAATTATAGTGAGTTGTGAGACAGCCATCATTCTGTGATGGAGAACAGTATGAGGGGGTAGCTCTGAGTAGGTTAGTCATTGAGATCACTCTAAAGGGGCAACATGTATTCAGACAGAGGCCTGAGGGATGAAAAGTGCAAACACAGGGATGAGCAGACCCAAGTCAGGATGTTTCAGGCATTGGGAACCAAAAGTGCACAGATCCTAATGGTGAAATGCCTTGTGTGCTTCAGAGTCTATCCAAGATACATGGAAGACAGTAGCATAGTATGCTGGAAAAGTGGATGGATGCAAGATTGCAGAAGTCTCTGCAGGCCATGGTAAGAAATTTCAAATTCATTATAAAAGAAACAAAAAGCCATTAAAGGGCTTTGTGCAGTGGAGGAACCTAGATTGTATTTAAAACAATCATCCATGAAGAATAGATTATGGAAGTAAGTTTGAATGTAGCTCAGACAAGTTTTAAGGCCAAATTGATGTTACAGGTGCAGAGATGATGAATACTGGATGGATTTGAGATGTGCTAGGTAAGACCCCTATGGGTATTGCTGTTGGATGTACAAGATGTGAAAATAAGCAATCAAGAATGGTCCCTAGGCTTGGACAACCAGTGCATAGAAGCAGCATCGACTGAGGTAAGTAAGATGCTTGTTTGGAGAATTGCGGAGGCAGAATGGAGGTGATATTGGCAGGAAGTAATCAAGAATTCCACTTCAGTTATGAAATGTCCAAGATTGAATAGATTATTACACACCCTGTTGAGATGCCAAATGACCAATTGGATATGAGTCTGGAGGAAGAGACCTAGGCTTGAAGTATCAATTGGGAGCATGTAAAGCATATCTAAGTCTCTGAAAATAGTTGAAATTTGAAATAGAAAAATGGCAGACAGATATGCCTAAATTTGAGATGTGTGTCTTAATATGTAAGTGCTAAATTGATAGCATTGATGAGTCAATATTTCCATGTCTCTCCTAACTTTTATTGAAACCACCCAACCATATCATGATTCAGTGTATTTCTACTCTGCAACATTCTCAGTGACTGTTGTATGTCTGGTTTGTGCATTTAGCTACAGTGACTGCCAGGTGATTCTACTAATGAATAAATGTATTTTGGAAATGTTCTCCATCTTCCACTCAATCTTGCTAAATTTCCAAGAAAATAACACAGGAACAATTTTTTAATTACTTATTTTTATTTATTTTAAAGGCACAGAGACAGAGAAACAGAGAATAGACAGAGATCTTTCATCTGTTGGTTCCCACTCTAAATGCCTGCAGCAGCCATCCCTGGATCAAGTAAAGTCAGAAGCCAGGAACTCAATCTGGATTTCCCACACTGGCAGTGACTCAACCACTTGGGCCATCACTGCTGCCTTACAAGATGCATATTAGTGGGAATCCAGAATCAGAAGCGGAGCAAGGATCCAGATCTAGGCATTCCAATACGGGATGTGGGCATCTCAAGTGGTGACTCTACTGCTATGACAAATGCTGGCCAGTTTTCCTTTCCAATGGACTTCTAACAGCTTTCTGTTGCCTTCTTCCTTTTCTGTCAAAAGCTCTCTTAAAGGATGGGCATTTGGTTCAGTGGTTGAGACATTGCTTGGGATGTTCACTTCCCTCATCAGAGTACTTGGGTTTGAGTCCTGGCTCCACTTTCAACTCCAGTTCCCTGCTAAACAGCATCCTGAAAAGCAGTAGGTAATGGCTCAAATACTTGGGTCCCTATAATCCCACTTGGGAGACCTAGATCAAGTTCTAGGCTCCTGACTTTGGCCTGGCATAGACTTAGTTGTTGTGGGCATTTGGGGAGAAAACTCAACTTTGGAGGATCTCTCTCTGTCTGCATATCTTTCTCTGTCTCTGTTTTTCAAACAAACAAATAGAATCTTAAAATGTATGAGTAGTTTTCCTGAAGAAATGAGGTATGAAGTGTGAGAATAGGGCAGAAGGATTGTGGGAAAATCATCCCTTACCTCCTCTTCTTCCAGTAGAATGAGCCGAACCACAATGATGTGAATTGCATTGCCAATGCTTGGGTTATGGAACAGCCCAGTGACCTGCAATCAGAAATAGAAACCATTAGCCACTTGTAAATTGATAATGGGTAGATGCCAGAGACGAGACATAGAAAAGTGAGATATACCCCTGGCTCAATCCACATTATGATATCTACAGACAGTTGTTAAGGGTGATTAACAGGCTGTGCTTGAGGAATTGACAACTTTCTTTTCCTTGATCCCTACTCTAGCCCAAGGCCTTCTCTTATTCAATTATCAATTATACAGGCAAAAGCTTTCCCAGACTCAACAGGACTAACATTCTCTGTGGAAGGCAGAAAATGCAAAGGGGAAGCTTGGAATTAGGTATCACTAATATTATTACATTTCTATGTCTAACTATCTTGAAGAAAGCAAAGTCTAGCTCTTTACCTCAATGTCCTAATTTGTGTACTAAAACAAACCAAAAAGAAATTTCTAGTAAAAGGATTGTTTATAAAATACCAAGTAGAAGTATGTATTTTATAAATTACAAATTTTTCTTAGGATATAGATTTTTAAGGGAAAAAGTAGTTTGCAAAATTTTCTTATTCACTTAGGCAATGACTAGAATGGCAGATGGATAGATAAAAGGGCCAAAGGTTTCTCTTTTTTTGGTTGGGGGAAGGCTATTTTCAATGACGTCTCTTCACCAGCTGTCCCTCCCCCAACACAATCTGGCATACCATGTTCATGATGGTGAGGATATATGACTCCACGTTCTCACTCCCATGATACTCCACCATCTTCGTGTCAGCCACCACCAGCGTCTCTACCCATCTCTCCTTGCTGATGGAGCGCTGAGAGCGCCTTCTGTTTGGTAAGTTGTTTTTCTCCCACTTTTCTCGCTGGAGTTCTTGCTTCTCAGCACTTCTGAGACTGTCTAAACATTAAACAAGATGGGATAATTCCATTTATCTGTCACAGATTACCTACTTATGTTTGTAAAGATGTAAGGTCTTATGTTTAATAGTATATGTATGTAATTTTCTTAATCACGTGAGTAAAATAGAAGAAAGTCAATTTAAATGAATACAACCAAGAAAACTCAAATGTGAATATTAATAGGGAAGGTCAAAAAGTACTTCTTTAAGGTAATTATTACCTACTTCATTACAATATGTCTTTCACTGTTAACAAAATATCATAATGGAGACAGATGTCTGGTGCAGTGGTTAAGAAGCTACTTGGGACATTCAAATCCCATATCAGAGGGCCGGGTTCAAGTCCAGGCTCTGCTTCCAATTTAACTTCCTGCTAATGGTCTCCTAGGAAGTGGTAGGTGATGGTTCAAGTAGGTGGTTCCCTGAAATCCATATGGGGGCCCTATATTGAATTCTGGGCTTTGGCTTCGCTCAGCCCTGGCTGTTGTGGGCATTTTGAGTGAAAATGCAAATGGAAGCTCTCTCTATATCTATATCTGTTTCTGTCACTTTATTTATGGCTTTCAAATAAAAATAAATAAGAAAAAATATAATATGAAATGAAAACTTTTTCTTCTTCTCCTTTAAATTATTCAATGCCTAACACGTGGAAGGCAGTATCCTGGGCTTTTCAGTTCCAAATCATTCATCCTCATGAATATTTGTGGTACATACTTCTCTTTCCATCTTGCAAACGTGGAAATTGATGCACTAAAAGGATGGTTAAATAACATCCCTGAAGTCACACAGCCCACCTAGCCAGAGAACCAAGATTTCCTGTGCCCTAAAATAATGCATTTTATTACGTATCACACTATCTCCCCCACAGAGTAAACATGAATAAAACTGAAGTATATGAAATCTGTAACACTGCAGAAGGTTTGGGGCATATCACTTTAAGAGGGTATAAACAGAACTAGATCTTGGCTACTGGCTGTAGCCAGGCCCAGCCCAGTCTTGGTCATTGTGGTCATCTGGGGAGCAAACCGGCAGATGAATGATCTCTCCCTTCTCTATATATAACTTTGCCTTTCAAATAAATCTTTTAAAAAAGGAAGGAAGGATGGACTGACCCTTGAGAATGAAAATAAAGAACACTGACCACAATTAAGACACCTTTAAAAACACTCTGCCTAAAAATATTGCCTCATATCCTTAGAATTGTTCTGGGTGTTAAGTACTCAAAATGCTCAGTGAATAATTGCTTAATGAATAAAACATTGGATGTCATTCCTTCAAATTCTGTGATTATTCAAGGGGATTATCCCATTGATAGTTTTACTGAAAAATATTTTTATGCTTCAGTAAAAAAAAAAAAAAGAGCTAGAAAAGACGCAAAGAGGGACAATAAAACTGTCAAGCTTACTAACAGGTTTCAATATGAAAAAGATTTGATATATGAGAAATGTGGTTTGGAAGGCAAAATCCAGGAGACACTACAAAACTGGAAATCTGTGCAGAATCACTGTCAGAATCCTGGACTACTATTCCTAGTGAGCACATTCTAACTTGAAGGAGGTCTACTGGAAACCAAAATGGAATAAAGACTCACTTCACCCATCAGGAGGCAAACACTTAACCCAAGAGGTGGTCACGTGTAAAAAGTCTCAGTGACTCAGAATGGCTGAAGAAGTTTGGGGGAAGATGATTGGAGCAGTGGAGTGGGTAAGAAAAGAGGCCATAGACTTATAGAGAGCCAGTGTCTGGAACCTTTACGATTCCCCTTAGAGACAGCCACGTCTTCCCTCTCTACCTCTAGCTCCTCTGTACTCTGGAGCCCTGGCAGGGGCAGAGCATGGGATCAGAGAGGCAAACCTCATGTCTCCTTTCTAGTTGCTGGTGATAGCCTTCCAGCTTCAGCTGAAACGAGGGGCACCCACTGTCTCATAGGGTATCTTGTTCTGTTGGAAAGTTCTCCCCTGCTGGGATGAAACCTGACTCCTCCTAGTTCCCCAGAGTTCTGGTCCTGCTCATGAGGTATGGATAAAAAGTCCCCCTCCTGAGGCCATGCCTCAGATGCTGAATTGGGACAAGTAAAACCACATCCCTCCAACCTTCGCAGTGTTCTGTAAGTTATACCAACTTGCCATGTCACCCTTCCTGGCTCTTCAGTGCCAGTGTCGATGCAAACTTAGAACACATTAAGAATGTTGTCATAATTCTAAATAAATCCAACTTTTATTATTGTGGATTTTCCCTGAAAATAATAAAGCTGTACTTTGATATCAAACTTTCAAAAATAATCAGAGAGTATGTAAACTTTGAAGGAAATTCTTTGAAGGTTTATAAAATGGGATCACACTACTCCTTTATCTATATTAAAAACAATTTCTCACTTTCTTTTCTATTCTCCTTTGCATGGAGAAGTATGAATTCCCCATGAGATCTTCAGAGACTTTATCAATGGTTTCTAACTCTTTGTGACCCCACCTATTCCCCTATCAGCTTCTCAACCCTTTCCTGGAGCTCACAGGAATGTGTTCAAGCCTCACTATCTGCTTTCAAGTCACTCTGTGTAAGACAGGCAGCCAGTCATGTAGGATTGTGTTTTCTGGAAGGAGATTTAGCATACTGGCTTGAGGACAGGTGACCTATCAGCATGAATTAGGTGTGATCTCTCAGTGCCCCCCTTATCTCAGTGCCCACCTCTGTCAGACCTGGTGGCATCAGATCTGCTTCAAGACCCCAGGGACTCAGAGATCTCCAGTGAAATCATACACTCGGGTGACTGGCAGGTCAGTTTCTTCATAAAGTCCTTGGTACCTCCTTTCTCATCATTTGGCTGCAGGCAGGGTGTCCTTCCCCTGAGTGTGTGGGTGCCTCTCACAGAGGCTGCAGCCCATGTCAGGTGGCAGAGATCATGCAGGATGCTGAGCTGCAGGCTGCAATCTTGAGTCTTGACCTGAGGTTTCCCTCTCCTCCCAGGCCCTCAGGTTATCTACAGTTCAGAGATGGCAGGAGGTGGGCTTGAGGGAAAAGCTTCTAGGAAGGGAGTCATTTCTCTGCTTCCTTTAGTCCATCGTTTCTTTTGACCTTTTTTCTTCCCCTCTTCCAACTTTTGTCTCTCAATGTTGAACAAAGGAGCTATTACTGGCTCAATGTCTGTATCCTGCCCAAATTCATAGACTGAAGCCCCAACCCCCAATGTATTGGTATTTGGAAGTGGAACGTTAGGGTGGCAAATGGGTCATAAAGTGAAGCTCCCATCATGGGATCAGTGTCTTTATAATAAGGGGAAGGGACAGCAGAGCCACTTCAGAGCATTTTTGAGTATATTCTTTTTGTCTCTCTCTAGTTTGTTCTCATTCTCTCTCTCTCTCTCTCTCTTTCTGATAACTCAGTAATAATGCAGCCTTCTATAAGTCAGGAAGAGGGTACTACTCATCAGATACCAAATCTGCCCATGTTTTGTTCTTGGAATTCTACTCTCTAAAACTGTGATAAAAAAGTTTTTGCTATTTAAGACACCAAATCAATGGCATTTTGTTACAAATCAAGCTAAGACCAGAGTTAAAATAAGGCCATAAAAGTCCATCAAGTTACTTTCATTTTTTTGAGAGATGGTATCTGATAAAGGCATAAATTCATTTTAAACTTTTCAACAAATTATATGTTAAGTGATTAATAAAGTTCAGGTTTTATTCTAAGCACATAGCAAATGCCTCCTTTAATTATGCCAACAATTCCATGAGATAAGCCCTAGTATTATGACATTGTATAAATGAAGAAGCTGAAGTTCAAAGATTTTGGATATTTTCCCAAAGTCACATAATAAACCAAGAACCTGGATCCAGCTAAGTCTAATTCATCTATAGCAACAACAAACACACAAGAGGCTGTATGAATAAGCCTCACTCTCTTCTCCTATGAAGAGAGGCAAAAAAGTGACACATGACCCTTGCTATTTTATAATAGCCAATCTGATTGTGGGTGACACAGCATGAATACATGAAAATGTCATTATCAGGTTTCAAATAATTTTCAAGGAAAGAGATCAGCTCTACTCAGACAATGCAGAACTGGAAGGATTTGAATTGGGACCTGACAGCACTGAACTGGAAGAGAGGATTGTATATATCTGGGCTGATTCTGCTGAGGCTAATTAAGTCATCTCAAATTTGGCAGAAGAAATGGTTTTGCTAAGCAATTCTAAAAAGTACCAGAAGTCATAAGTATACTTATCCAAATTCTATTGACAAAACAGGCCAATGGTTTGAGCAGGCAATGTGGGATGCTCCCTTAAAGAGCCACCTTGTCTCTTATACACATGTTGAGACCCCTTTTTTGAACTGGCCCAGCTTTGGGGTGCTTCCCAACCCAAGCTCTGCCCACACTGTTGTCCCTTGCTGTTACTTTAGGGGTTTTCCAATTGAGCTTCAGGCATCAAAAGTGCCCAAAGGACATCTCCAGCCTTGTCCCCCACTGTACTTAGCAAACGATGGCTCCTAATAAACATCCAATGCACAGGTGAAGGGAAAGCTGAAGATGAGTCAGAGTCAACTGATGAACCACAAATAAAACACAGGAGTTGACTGGCTCTATTCTCCCATGGGGTGACTTTGTTTGAATCACAGAATTCTCCACACCGAGACTGTGCAGTATCTTTTTAAGGGGAGAAATCCAGCCCAGTGGCAGTTTAAATGAGGACATCTCCAGTGCTGATGGAGGGCCAACTTTCCTGAGCCTGAAGGTAGGTGAGTGCACACATCAGCTTAGCGTCATCTGAGATGTCCAGGGTGCCTGGTGCACCAACAGAGCAGAGGCTCTAGAGCACCCTGGGAAATGTAATTTATGGCGCACTTTCTGCTTCTCCAATGCATAAGGGAGCTCTTCACAAAAATCTCTTTCATTTAAGGCTCTCCGGGTAGCTGTGCTTTTCCCTACTGCTTTTCTCTCAGACTTAGGGTCTTCTGCAGAGAGACAAGGATCATGCCTGGATAAAGCTGCACTGGTGTCTGAC